AAATACAGAACCAATCCCACTCCTACTATAAGGAGCATAACCATCAGCATACATCCACACCACATTTCACTACTTTCACTCGGACCGGTCCTCCTCTCACTCTGGCGTGCGCCGCATTCACCACTCTCACTCTCACCTTCCAGATTCCCAAGGCTCCTGGTAATTCTCCTGAAGGGCGTCCACTCGGACTGCCGTAGGGTTACGAGCTCGACCTTTTCCACTTCTGGCGCCAGCTTCCTGTCGTTAAGCTTCCTTCCCAGAGTCGGATCTCTCCAACCCTAGAGCCAGGACTCGAACATGGACTTCCCTGCTCAGGACTCAAACCTGAGACTTTTTACGAGGGCCTTCCTCCTACGAAACTCTGCCTCCACCCGTCTTTTGTTTTTCAGGGGTCCCCCCTCGAATCCCGGACGAGCCCCCAAAATGTTAAGGTCCGTGACTCGATGGGTCCCCTCCAGGTAACAAACACACGGGATTGGAGATGTAAAAATCAAGCAGAGTCTTTATTTTTCCAGCTAGCTGGGGACGACCGGCTTCCCAAGACACACAGGTCTGGTCAGAACGATCGACCTCCATTCAGTTTCAGGTACAGATTATATAGGCCCACACAGTCATTACACAAAAAGCATTCCTCAGCAGACACTTTAATCAATCATCTTCTAAAAGCTATAGTTTTGGTTAAACATCTTTTCCAGGAAGGGTAGATCTGGTGTAAGCCTGGCGCAACCTCCCTCTTTTGTTCCTTATTGGTTATCTGGTATGTGCAAACAGGCCTACAGGACACATTGTAAATCAACTGAGTCAGGGGTCCAGGGTCCAGGAAGGAGGTTTACAGCACTTCAATTCTTAACATTTCAACTAGGTTAATCATCCATGTGTGGTAGATACAATCAGGCAGAACAGGCAAGCTAACAAGTAAATCTAAATCAACGTTTTAAACAGAGTTTTCTATCAAAATGCAGAGTTCTTACAGCATTCATCAAGGTATTTTATTTTTTTGTCCCCAGCAACAGGTCTATAAGTATTTGGATAGGACAGTTCTCTGGGGCGACCATAAGAGATATGTTGAGCCAGCAGATAAACATTAAAACTATATGGGAGTAATGAAGAACTTATTGGGGCACCAATCAAGTACATGGAGAAGAGTCCTATTTGGATGTAAACTTGGGGTAAATTTTCACATCACTCCTAGTCCGTTCTCAAAGTGATAGGGGATAGACCATATTTGACTGACACAGGTTGGGCATAACTACAGTTTTCTAAGAAAAGAACTTGGAGATTGGTTTGAGTAGATGACATTTTAAAGTAAGTTGGGAAATGGATGATATACAATGGGAATAAGTAGGGAGTGTAGAAATGAGGATATAGTAAATACAGGCCAATTGATAAATACAGAAAGCAAGTTTGTTGAGGCCAAGTTGGGAGCATTTATTTAAGCCCCTTGGTAATATTCGCAAACATTTGCTTAGCCCCTTCCAATATTTGCTTGGTCCTCACTCCATAAATCACAGGGTTGAGCATAGGAAGAATAACCACATAGAGGTTGGCCAAAAGGATGCGGACATAACGTGGGATGCATTTCCCACCAAACCTGTAGGCAAAGACAGAGAAGAGGGCAGGGATATAGAAAGTAGGATGACACAGACATGGGACCCACAAGTACTCAGGGCCTTGGCTCGGGCTTCTTGGGAAGAGAGATGGAAGACAGCTTGGAGGATGTGGGCATAGGAAGCAGCAATAAAGATGATGTCCAGACCTGTGGAGAGAAGAGCAGCTACCAACCCATACCAGACATTGATGGAGATGTCAGAACAGGACAGATGAGCAATACCCATGTGCTCACAAAAGTGTGTGCGATGATGTTGATCCGACAATAGTGCAGACGCTTGAGGAGAAAGATGGACGGAAACATGATGATGAAGCTGCGGGTCAGAGTAGCAGCAGTGATCTTCCCCATGACCTTCTTTGTGAGAATTGTGGCATATCGCAGATTGCAATGTAGCGGTCAAAGGCCATGGCCAGCAGGACAGCAGAGTCAGCCACGAAGAGGAAGTGGATGAAGAACACTTGGGTCAGGCAGCCATCGAAAGAATTGTGCCTAGCACCTAGCCAGAAGTTGGCCAGTGTCTTGGGCATGGTAGAGGTAGAGAGCAGGACATCAGTACTGGCCAGCATGCACAGGAATAGATACATGGGCTCATGCAGGCTTAATTGGGACATGATGACACAGATTAGAGTGCCATTGCCTACCAGGGCAGCTATGTACATGGTGAAGAAGGGGATAGACAGCCACACATGGAGGTGCTCCAGCCTGCTATATGAGTGTCAGAGTTGTTCACAGCAGCTACCCTGCTGACAGATATAAAAGTCATGATTTTCTGCAGAGCCTGTATCATGGGGGAAAATACGTTCATGCTTTGAACACACTTAGCAGAATGTAAGCAGGCTTATAAACAGCCACAGATCTGTACCTCCTCATAGGCCCTTCAATAGATAAGGTCTCAGAATGAGGTCAATGTACCATATAACTACACACAGACTACATGAAATGCACCATTCCAGGCTCTTCTCACAGACTCTGTGTCCTCATTCACTAGCTCTCTGCCCAGTTGTAAGAATTTCAGGAAACTTCAGAGTTCAAAAATGTTGAAGACTCAGTAGTGTCATGGGTTTGGAAATGTAGCAGTACACAGAACACTGAAAACAGTCTCTAGAGCCAGGGATATAGCACAAAGGTAGAGTTGTTTCCTAGTATGTGTGAGGCTTTGGCTTTAAAAAATTCCTTATTTATTATTGCTATTATGTGTGTTTGTGCATGTGTGGAGGTCAGAGGACAGCTTTATGGAGTCATTTCTCTTTTTCCATGTTTATATGGGTTCTGGGGATTGAACTCAGGTCCCTAGGCTTATGTGATAAGTTTCTGTACCTGCTGAGCCATTTCACTGGCCCAAAGCCCTAGTTTTGATCCCCTGTATGCATACACATGCACACATACACACACACATACACACACGCACGCACATACACACCACAACAATCTCTAGGAATATTGAATTGTTAGTAAGCTCTTTAAAAGCCTCAGCTTGGCAAAGAGAGCAATTGCCTCAGCTTACCACACTTTGTGTGCTTTGTTGGAGGCAGTAAGCACTATAGACTCTACACTCATTTCTCATAGGCACAGATGCTCTCATATATATGTAGGCAATTAAGACACCTTTAGAAAAGGCCCTAGACACTTGTGACAAAGCCCCCATTCCATCAGAGACGGAGCTACTGACTGTGTAATCTTGGACATGTCAGTGCCCCCTCCAACAATTTTCTGATTTTCATGTGTGTGTTCATGTATGTGTATTCATTTGTGTATGTGAACACATGTGTGTAGCATGCCTGTATATGTGCATGTATATATTGAGGTCAAAGGTCAATACTGATGCCTTCCTCAATCTCCACCTTATTTTCTTTTAAAAATATTTTATTTAATATTTTTATTTTATTTTATGTGTATGAGGGTATTGCCTGCATGTATGCAAGTGCACCTGTATCATGCAATGCCCATGGAGATCAGAAGAGGCTGTCAAATCTCCTAGAACTGGAGTTAAGGATGGTTGTTAGCTACCACGTGGGTGCTGGGAACCAAACCCAGGTCCTTGGCAAGAACAGCCAGTGCCCTTAACCACACTTAGATAGCTTGTGACAAAGTGCCCTTTCCATCAGAGATGGAGCTACTGACTGTGTAATCTTGGACATGTCAGTGCCCCCTCCAACAATTTTCTGATTTTCTCATGTGTGTTCACATATGTGTGTTCATTCGTGTATGTGTACACATGTATGTGGCATGTGTATACATGTGCATGTATGTATGTATGTGCATGTATGTGCATGGAGCCTTCTCTCTAGTCCCCTCCACCTTATTTTCTGAGACAAGGTTTCTTACTGAACCTGGGGCTTACCTATTCAGTTAGACTAAGTGGCCAGCAAGCTCCAGGAATCCTCTTGTCTCTGCATCCCCCAGAGCTGTGATTACAAGTGATTGTTCCAAAGCGTAACTTTTTATGTGGGTTATGGGGCTCACTCAGGTCCTTCTGTTTATGCAGGGAGCATTTTACCAACTGAAATATCTCCCCAGTTCCCATTCTATCAAATTTTTAAGATGAGTATAGTTGTTTCTCTGTTGGCATATTAAATTAAAATTGACCTGTTGAAGCCATTAAATAACATGGTGTGCCCCCAGTCACAGCAGGAAGGGAGGTATAGGGCGATGTTTCTGCAGTGTGGTTTCAACACTCCTGCCATGTACATCATTAGGCAGCTCATCTTGGGTCCAACCACAGATCTCCTAAATTAGAGATTAGGGCTAAATCTCCTAAATTAGAGATTGGGGATAGATAGCAATCTGTGTTTTAGTAGGCTGTCAGGTGATTCTGACTCAGTTGAAGTGATGACCACTGATGTAAGGGCTCTACTTTCTTCCTTATCTAGGCTTGATGTCCTCACTTCTAATGGAGCTGTTAGTTTTCAGTCTTCGTTGGTTTCTGCAGCCTTTTCCCTAAAAATATTCAGATTTAACTGAGTCCAATCAGTGTCATCCCCAGCTTATACAGCCAGGACATGAAGAAAACGACACTGCTATACTCCATCTTAATGATCTATTAGGATCCTTGAATGCTCATCGAGCCTCTTAAATTATTCTCACAGTGAATATGTAACTCTGACTGCTGTCCAAATCCTGCTGCTCAGCTAAGCTTTTATATAACTGAGATGTCAAGACTGTCAGGAGCCAATTCCTTATATTGTTGAGGGAACGACCTCATCTCTGAACCAGCCTCCTCTCTTTCCTTCCTGCCTGAGAGAAAGTGCCATCAGGGTCCCTTCTCCTTGTCAATACTCCGTCATAACTACAGCATATTTTATTTTGCTTAGATGTAAGAAAGCTTCCTTAGTCTCTCTCTCTCTCTCTCTCTCTCTCTCTCTCTCTCTCTCTCTCTCTCTCTCTCCTCTCTCTTGTCCTGGCACTCAGACCCAGGGCCTACTGCATTCACGTCAAGTGCTCTACCACTGAGCTGTATTCTCAGCTCATTTAAGTTGTTTTGAAAACACATATATCCACACACAAATACATATGTACTCTTACATGCAGACATTCATATATATATACCTATGTATGCACTCATGTATATGTATCTATGTATATGTTCAAGAATAATTTTCCCACCTCGTATTTTTTTGTTTGTTTGTATGTTTTGTTTTTCTGAGACAGTGTCTCCAGTCCCAGTTGGCCTGGAAGTTGCTATGTTGACCTGGCTGGTGTCAGTCTCACAGAGATCTGCCTGCCTCTGCCTCCCAAGTGCTAGGATTAAAGGTGTATACCATCAAGGCTAGCAGTAACTTCATCTTTTTCAAAAACAGATTTTATTTTTATGTGTAGGTACATGTGTCTCTAGTAGTGCATGCCGTGTGTGTGTGTGTGTGTGTGTGCGTGTGTGTGTGTGTGTGTGTGTGCCTGTGGAAGCCAAAGAGGGTATCAGGTTCCCCACTGTAGCCATCCCCCCACTTGTCCTTTAAGGACAATAGTACTCTGCTCACTAATAGTTAATAGGTTCTTGTCTTTGGCTTACTAAGCGTTAACACACTTCTTTGGACTTTGTTGATATAGAGTCTTGAGGAGAGGACAGTCTGCTTTCAGAGTGCTAGGAAGACCAGACAGCTCCCCTTGGAATGTCAGGGCTGGTGACCCCCCTTTATGTTTCTACACACATCAAAGGAGGTCTGTTACTGGGCCAGTCTCCACAGCCTGGGGTGCACTGCGCTTGCCTTCTCCCTGTTATGATGGGGAATTCCTGTAGGCTTTGTACTGCTTGAGTACTTATCATATGCAAACTCTGTGTGAATTTCCAATACTGAACTTCCAATAAACGCTCCCAGGAGGACAATATAAGTGCTCTTCAGCAAACAAATGCCAAGGGTCTCCTGGTTTAATCTCAGTTTTTTGGCATCGGTCAAGCAGGGGGGCTACATCCTAGAGCTGGAGTTATAGGTGGCGACAAGCCACCTGATATGGATGTTGGGAACCAAACTGGGGTTCTCTGCAGGAGCAGTAAACGCTCTTACCACCAAGCCATTTCTTCAGCTTTTTCCACCTAATCTTTAACATGAAATAATCCCCTTTATACACACACAAACACACATTTCTCCACTCCAACTATATGTAGTGAACCTCCTCTTTTCCTCTTCTGGGGTGTTCTGTGCAGTAATTTCCTCTACTTCATCGTCTTAAGACAGTCTAGATTTCTTATGCAGAAATACTTTTCTTATCTCCCAAAGGGAACTGAATTAGATAGGTTCTTTATGTCTGTATTCACATTCTCTTTCTCTCTCTCACTCTTTTTTCTCCCTCTCTCCCTCTCCTTCTTCCTCCTTTTCTCTTACCACATTGATATATTTTCAGCTACACTATGTGGTGAGCTCCCAAAGTCAGAACCATGTCCTCTTCACCCATGTCTAGCTTAGAATTTATACTTAGTGAACGTTCAGAAGATGAGAGAATAGGTTCATCCCTCTCTTCTAATCTGTGGTTGGTGCTGTTTCTTCTCGTTCTTCCCTCCAGTGTCACTCTGCATGTTCCTCCTCTACTGCTGGTGCCCACCTTGTGGGTGACCCGGCACCTGCCGTAGATTCCTTTTCTACCTTGATGCCAGCTTTCCCTGCTGACAGGCACTTCCAAGGTAGCCTGAGCTCCCTGCGTCTCCCTCTCTACCCCAGTTATCTCTGTTTGCACACCACTTCAGGAGTCCATTGACCCACATCTCACAACTACTGACAAGTCCAGCAACCCTGCTTCCTTTCAGACCACAACTCTTCATCTGCATCAACCCCCTTCTGTAAAATGTCTCCCTTCCACTGTCTCTTCCACCTAAATATCCCTTGACTACCAAGGAAAATAATATTTTATCTAGAGTCAGAGCAGAGGCAGACTCTTCAGAGTTAAATACTTAAATAGAGCAGATTTTGTTCTCTTTCTCTTAGCTCGAGGCGTCCACTCTGCCAACCCGAGTTCCTGGGTATGAAATTTGCATGATACTGATCACATTTCTTTCCCAATCACAGACAATCCCTCATCCTGACTCCATCTCTTTGTTTCCATTATTAGGCAGTAGATGTACATTTATAAATGTGTGTATCTGATCTGTTACATACTCTAGGCAGTTTCCACATGGACCTCACTGCCACTTTCTTAGTCATTCCTTACTGATTTCTTAACCAATGAATGTTGACCCTAAGGCATCTCTCCTCTTCTTTCTTCTAAGCCTGAGTAACGTAACTTGGCTTATCTCTGCCTGGAGAAATTCAGACCAAGCAGCACAGACTGCTTGACTTTGCTTTCTCTATATACTCGGTGTCCTCCTCCATCCTTTAA